AAAACCCACGGTAAACTAAATAACATTGTAAAGTTAATAAATTATAAAACCTGCATACCCTATTCATTCATGTGAATAGAGGTAATTTACGCAAAAATAAACTTCGAGTTTTCTCGCCTCGAAAGAAATTCACAGTTTTTGCACCTCGATAAAGCGGTTGTCAACGCGGCCATGCCATCAACCAATGAAACGCAACTTAGAACTACCTAGCGAGTCTCGTTACAAAGAAGGCAACAGGAACACTTTCCAGGAAATGTGCAATTTACAGTAAATTTTGCATTGGGAAAAGCGAAGTCTGTTGTGAAACATTCAGCAGCTTAAACAAACAATTATTCTTGTCACAAGGTCTGAAAAATTTTGTAAACGAAGCTTTCGACTGTATCGCACAGTCTTCATCAGCGATTAAAGTGAGCTAACGTTGTCACGTGAATGCAAATTGTTTAATCACGTGACAACAGATGGTCAAAAATGGCGGGAAGATCATAGCCCCCGTCTCTGTTCAGTGTTGGGCGTTGACGTCTGATATGGATGGCCTCCTTGATTTTCATTTTGATATCTACCGACTCTTTATCGAGAATCTTGACTCCTTCCCAGTCGATCTCGTGGTTGGCCTGAGACTGGTGTTCCCGGATTGCAGATGTTGTTTGTTTCTGATGTTCACCCACTCGCTTCTCTAGAGTTCTCGCTGTCTCGNTACGTCACGTGTTGTGTGCGGCTTGAATACTCTAGGATTCTATTGCGTCACAATCACATATTCGAGTCTAGAATACTCTAGAATATTTTGGCTTTCACGCAGTGATATTTGTGTCAAATACGAAGCTTTCACACAATTCGACGCGGCCACGACAAAGGGGTCGACGAAGGAAATCAATACTGGTAATCTGAAATCGCGAGAGTCAAAAATCGTAGAACTGAACCTTTGGTGACAATAAATATACAAACTCTAGTATTGTCGGTCTCCTCGAAATGTTTTAAATGAATTAGAATTCGCCAATAAATCAGGTGTCTATTTTGGGGAAACCATTGGGCAAAAATGATAAGGACTTAGTTTTTTGTCGTGGCTCAGAGTACACAGAAAAATCATGCAACAGGAATTTCACCTTATTTCTTAGTTACGTTGATGTGACGTGGTGTTGTGAACGTCATAATCAGCCTAAGAAGTTCTTTTTAGCCATGGCACCTTCTATCGCTGCGAAAGTTTGGCATTTCACTTGGAGCTGACAGGAACTGGAAGAAAAAAAGCTCTTTCACGGTTGACTCGTTAACAACGGTTGCCACTTTAGTTACAGTAAATTAAAAGCGTCTTTTTTTTATTTTCACACTGAGAAAAAATAAACAATATACAATGATATGAAAAAGTGTAACGGGAAAATAAGAAATACAACAACTAAATTTACATACAAAGAATAACGAAAACAATGCACCAAAGAAATACAAGGTCTCGAATATTGCTTATCTCGAGGTTTCAAAAATTTAAGGTGAGCAGTAAAGCATTCGCAGCGATACATATGAGTGATGTTTTGCGACAAGTGAACAGTAGGTAATTCCGGAATGGGGATGAAGGCAAAATAAATCCAATATCCTGTTGTTGAAGGTGTTTCTGAATGTTATTTTTAGGGTCTCACCAAAAAGAAAACTCGCTGTTTGGATATCTGAACTCAATTGGCATAGATTTTTACGATTTTATTTCTCCATTTTCTCTCTCGATCGAGAAGATATATCCGGCAAACACTCAAGATAGTGTTTAACCACATTTCCAAACAAGTCCTCGAAGTTCGTCAAAAATATTCCGCTGCGCGTCGTGTTTTCAACGAGCTCGTCTCGGTGTTTTGCAAGTGAGGGCAAACACGTTCTTTCATGTTGTTATACAGTACTCGACAAAATAGATTCTGACTTTCAGAGTTAGCATTTAAAAAAACCCTCATAAATAAGGACAATTTTCTCCCAGAAAATAAAAGCGCCTCAAGTTAGATGCATGGTGGAAAAATTTACTTCAAATTGTGGTCTGCTGCATGATTTTTTGACCAAACACTTAACGAATTTCGATTGAATAGGAGATTAAATGCCGTGAAAGAGAGTAACCTACATATCTCGTCACATAAATCACGAAAGAGAGGAACGCCATACAAGAAAAGAGTCGCATGAGAACTTATAAGAGGTCTTACTGTTTCAAAAATCAATTACTTACATTGTATTAACCGAGAGTGCGGTCTTCACAGAAAAATCTCAAGACCTTGTCGTATTGACTCGGTGATAGCGAGGTCAATACGGCAAGTCCGCGGTTTGAGATTTTCCCGTAAAGACCGAACGTTCGAGGTTAATGAGTTGTTTATTATATGTTTTTTTGCTTTGCTTTGCAACGTACAACAGCTGGCGTAAACGACATGACAATCTGGTGAGTACCCTCACTTTGACACGGTGTGACCCCCCTTTGAAAAATCCTGATTACGCCCCTGATAATGCCCTAGAATTAGCCAATCAGAGTTCGCGTTATATCGGCTGCAAACACAAGCCATATAATAATACTTTCTATTCAGGTTTTGTATTTTGTGAGAAGTTTATAACCATGTACAAACACAACTGGGACAACAATGGTCAGAAAGCCGCGACTGGGTGACAGACACACGAGCACCCAGCGGGTTGAATGCCCGAGGAGGATTCCCATATGAAAAGGTAGAGGAGACCAATCTGGCCTAGACTGCGAGCAGTCTCTCTTCTCCTCGAAAGAAAGCAAAATAAGTAAGCGTGCGAGCGTGACTAAGAGCGTGACGTGCTAGTAGAGATGCTGCGAGCCGCTGTGCGAGCGAGCGACGCCCGCGCTTCTAGCGGCTAGCGGCATCGCCGTTCGCACGTCACACTCACAGTCACGCTCACCGTCACGCTCGCACGCTTACTTGTTTTGCGTTCTTCCCCGCGGTTTTCGAGGAAAAGAGAGACTGCTCGCCGTCTAATCTGCCCAGGTGTGGCTTGAACTTTATTTGACCCCTAAAAGATACAGATACCACTTAAAATGGAATAGACATGATTACCTGTCCATACTGTTCAGGAAAGGAGCCAGCGCTAGCACGACCGGACGGGAGAGACCGACGGAAATCGAACCTAAAAACAGAAATGACAGCGATTTTTTCATTATTATTTCTTCGAGTACACCTCAGAATATAGTTTGACAGATAAAGTTAGCGGCGTTTCGTCATAAACACTCTAAGTGATTGTTGTTACCGTTTTATAGGGATTGCGTGAAGTCCGGGAGACTAAGTATGTATAGCTTACACCATGTGACCTAATTGGTTTTCGAAGTCGTCGATCGATTGTAATCGGAGGTTTTATCCTGAGTTTTACCCAGGAGTTTTAGTATTAAAATCGTTGAGTTTCAAGAGTTTTGAGTCAAGTTGACAGTGGAATCAACAGTGATACCAGAATCCTTGATTTGTACCCCTAAGCGAGACGAATAACATTTCTGACCTGCCTCACGCGATGCTAGTGTTTATGTTACTCAGTTGAATGTGTGCGCTTAATGGCAGAAATGGCAATAGCTTTTAATAACCTTGACCGTGATTGACGAACAAGTTCGCTGTTCTTGGAAATGATGATCCAGAGATATTGTTTATTGTTTACCGGAAGCTCGTTTATTGTCCGTCACCTTTACTGTTTGAATTACTTGTTTGTGTGTGCCAGTCTATGCGAGTGAGGAGAACCTTGACTTGTAAACAAAAATCATCATGCCACTTGCTCTCTTTCTGCCATTCTACCTTTTACGCAAGCATTTATTACGGAGCAGATAAGCTTTGCACGTCAGATCATGCCAATTTAACAACAACAATTTATTGGTATTCCCATATAGATGGTGTTACCTAAATGCAGAATCGCTAAATAAAAATTCAAGAACGAAACAAAATACAACAGCAACCAGAAAGAAAAATAAAAATAGTTAGTTACAAGATTCTTCAAACAGATTCCATGTTGCTGTGCGTCTGTTCTGTAATAAATCACAAATGACATCAAAATGTGGTAAGAACCAAAAAAGTATTTCACGAGGCATAGCCGAGTGTGTCGCTGATGTTCTTACTACATTTTGACGTCTTTTGTGATCTTTTACTGAACAGACGCACGGTGACATGGAATCTATTTGCTTTATATGAAAAAGAAACAACAAAGGATGTTACTGACGTCATCTTTGCGTCTGTCCTCCAATTGATCATAAGTAAGAACCAATCAAAACGCGAGAGTAATTTGACTTATTATATAAATAGATATGTCACAGTATTGCTAACTTAAGTGTAAGCGCCTGTCTAAAAGAAACTGAAAAAGCTAATAGCACTGTTCTTTCTAGCCAAAATTAACTAAACTCTTACAAATCAGAAACTGAAAAATCAGATGCCTCTTAACGTGGCAACGTTTGAGTGCATTGTTTGAAGCAGATTCACTAACCCATTAACTTTCACACTTGACAGCTAAAACTGTGAAGGTTTGATTGCTTCGTATGTTTGAAACATCTGTTGTTAATCGAGTGAGTTGAGTGAACTTCTCAATTCGAGAATAAATAATGACGAATCAAGAGTCAATCAAGGAAGCTTTTACAATGTTTGTATTGGAATTTTCTTTTGACGAATAAGGATATCCAGAAGAAAATAATTATCTCGAAGTTTTACATCCTCGAAAGTCAATTAATACAGGAGCTATTTTTCATACATGAACCGAATGACTGTTTATGTTGAATCCAGTTTTCCTTCTGGTTAAAAACTGAAATGTGGAAGAATTTGACCCTTTCATTATCAAATAATCTATGACTTATTCAGAATTTCATACTTACCAACCATGTAGGATTACAGGAAGAAAGTAACGAAGTAATTATGGCGTTCGATGCTTTCTTTGCAGCACGAGGTTCGCTCGACTGTGGCAAGGTGCACAAATTTCCCGCCATCTAAGTGCTCGAGCCCACGATATGAAGCCACTGGCCAGATGGATGCGTACAAGCTGATGCGTAGTATGACATTGCGCAATTTTGAATTAGGAGATAGCGCGAAATAATTTTGCTTCCTTGAACAGTTTGCAAACCGGCTTGCACACTCTCGTAATATCTTGATCATCTTGACCTCGACAGTACACAATGAGCAACGAAAAGGTAGCTTTGTGTTTTTTGCATTCTTCTATGTGTTCATTTTTAAAATGTGTGTAAGTTTCAATGCTCAACAGATGAAATTCTAAACAGGTATCTGAAGAGGCTCCTGTCAGTCCAGAAATTCACTTCGAACCGCTCGTCAGCCTTCCTAAGGTTGATGTCAAATCACTTGAGGAAGACGAAGAGGCCCTCCTGAAACTGTAAGTGTATTTATCTCTTGAAATGTTTAAACTTGAAGTTCAACTGACTTTGCAAATGCTCAATCGTTACGTGGTAATATTTGTCCGTTTTAATTTGTGAACCCAAACAGTCGCGCCAAACTGTACCGATTTGAAACAAGCGGTGAAGAAAACGAATGGAAAGAAAGAGGTGTCGGTGAGGTGAAGATCTTGAAACATGGCGATAAGGGAACACACAGAATCCTCATGAGAAGAGACAAGACGTTTAAAATCTGTGCAAATCATTACAGTAAGTTTATGTTTCTCAAAAAATTCAACTCATAATCGCCACGATGGCGATATTAAATTTTGTATTGAACGTCCTGTTTACAGTCGAGCTTTTCCCAAAGTGTTTGCTAAGCACGTTATTTTCCTGCACTGAGTCGTGGTAAGTCTCTATCAATGTAAGAATTCTATCCATTTGAAAGCCACTATCTCAAACTCCCAAGGGAAATTTAACAAAAGAGCGAGATAGTGGAGGTTATAGATAGCTAATGGCTGAAAAAGCACATCCAAGGGAAATGTTGTGAGTTCAAGTTAGTGGGAGTGCAAGATATCTGAGTTAGAGATCTAGTGATAACAATCAAACTTCGGTTCAGTTTCTGCAGCTTGCAAGAACCTATGGAAAGTATTTTTTCATTTCTTTACCACACAGTCATTCACACAGAGTTTATTATAAAGAAATGGAACAGATTTAAACTTTTGCATTCTAATATAACCTGAATATAACATGTGTATTTCTCTACTGTCCTAGTCACAAAAGGCATGGAACTTAAAACAAATTGTGGTAGCGACAGAGCGTGGGTTTGGACTGCGCTGGACTTTGCCGATGAGGAAATGAAAACTGAAACACTGGCTATTAGATTTGCCAATGCAGAAAGTAAGTATTACTAACCCTGTCAAAAGAACATCCAGTTTGACTGTTCTTTTGACGGGAACTTTGGAGTATCGCAGCTCAATATGCCAATATTGATTGACAGTTTGCTTCATGCAACTTGCAATCATTGATTCAAATTAGCTTTTCAAGCAAGAACTGTCAAGTTCTGTTTGAGTTTTGATAGGTTTTGGTTTTCACTTTTTCCAAATAAGAAATTATACTGCTTATTGTCAAAGGCATATTACAGAGTAGGAGAAAATAGTGGCAGTTTGAGTTCAAATTGGGATCCATGCATTAAAATTGAATTGCCAAGCAAATTTGAATTTTTTAGCCTAATTTCCAGTTTGGCGATCTCTACTCAAAGGGTCTGATATTTCTTTTAATCTGTTGATAAACTGTCAACCAATGAGTTATTATTTTATCTCTCTCTGTAGTATTGTTTACTGCTGTCAGGAAAAATGAAAGCCAGAACTTCTTAAGGTTATTTCCCAGAATTGCATTGTGCATCCTTACTGCGCATAATTTCACGCGTGATTAGCACGTGGGCATTAAAAAATGGCGGCTTTTTCTTTACAGCTGGACCTCACCATAAAAGTAAATCATCATTTTCTCGCAAACGAGTATGGTGACCTATCATTTTTTTCTGTTGTTTTGAATTGACTAATAAATTTCTCTGTGTAAAATAAATATGGACCAATTCTTAGTGTAGAACAAAAAGCAATCATTGGAGACGTGAATTTAGCACGCAATTGTGACTACAATCATGGTGTATGGGTATAACACATAATATACATGGGTATAAACAAGGTGCTGTTGCTCCTAAACAAACATGGGGACCCCTCATTTTTATTTCAAAATTTAAGTTCCCATAAAATAAAAAATCAATAGGCAAAGTTTGACAAAAATCTCAGTGAAGGTTCTATTTCAGTGGAATGACCTTAAAAGTGAAGCAAAACTTGCTAACGTGCTCAAGCAAATTAAAGTGAAAAAACGTTCTTGGTTAAAAAAGATTAAAAAACATAAGCGTTCTGCTATCAGTCTATAGCCTTTAAGGAATGAAAAATGTAAGCACGCAAATGGAATATATACAAAAAGGGGTGCAAAACATTTTATAAAAATAGAATACAAAAAGAAGTGTGAAAAGAGCTAAAAAATAAAAATATAAGTAAGGTCTAATTACAATAAAATGGAGTATTGCTTAGGCAGCGGTTTTGAGTTATTATCCACGTCGACAGTTTTAGCTGTGTGCCAGGGTTCTAGTGTTTTTCAAATGCAGTAATTGCCTTTGTCAATAACACAAGCATTATCAAAGTCAATGGAGTGGTTGTTTTGTCACGCATGGTTTGCAACATCTGAGCCCTTTATATAGTTTTTCAAATTTCATTGATGTTCCTTTTTTCGGGTATGGAAGCATCTTCCGGTTTCTCCTATGTAGTTCCAAGGACAGTCTTTACATTGGATTTTATAAACAACATTACATTGGAGATCTGAAGGTTGTCTGAACTTCAGAGACCGGAATTCTTGTTGAAGGGTTTTGAATGGTTTGTTGACCACACAGATTTCATTGTTGCGGAGTAATCTTGGAAGAGGCTCGGTTAGGCCACTGATGTAAGGGAGGCATGGAAAACCCTGGTACGTATCCGATGGCTTGGCCCATTCGAAAAACATAGAAACCAGTTCTTCTGGTGGAGGAACTGTAGGTGAGGGTGGCTTCTTATTGAGAATGTTAGAAATAAAAGCCGATGGGTACAGGCTGTAGCCGTTAGCTTTGAACGCAGCCCTGACGTGGTTTGTTTTCTGTGTTTTTCCTTCATGGCTGCTAGGGAGGCTGGATGCCCGGAACAGAAGGGTCGAGGCTGTACTGATTTTGTGTTTTATTTCACAGTGGGAAGAGAAATCCAAGTATCGATCTGTGTGGGTTGACTTCTGATACACGTCAATGACGGCAACACCATTTCTTCTGGAAACCAAGGTGTCCAAGAAGGCAATTTGACCACTGTTTTCAAGTTCAATAGTGAAAGAAATTTTGGGATCGGAGACATTTAGAGTATTGTGAAAGGAAGAGACAGTGTCCTTCTTGATAATCATGGAAGAATCAACAAAAATTTAACAAGAGTTCAACAAGAATTCCGGTCTCTAAAGTTCAGACAACTTTCAGATCTCCAATGTAATGTAGTTTATAAAATCCCATGCAAAGACTGTCCTTGGAACTACATAGGAGAAACCGGAAGATGCTTCCAAACCCAAAAAAAGGAACATCAACAAAATTTGAAGAACTATACAAAAGGGCTCAAATGTCACAAACCACGCGTGGCAAAGCAACTACTCCGTTGACTTCGATAATGCTTGTGTTATTGACAAAAGCAATTACCGCGCTCAAAAAACACTAGAATCCTGGCACACAGCTAAAACCGTCGACACAGACAATAACTCAAAACCGTTCCCTAGGCAATACTCCATTTTACTGTAATTAGACCTTATTTACATTTTTATTTTTTAGCTTTTTTCACACTTCTTTTTGTATTCTATTTTCATAAATTTTTTTTTGCACCCCTTTTCATATATATTCTGTTCGCGTGCTTACATTTTTCATTTATTAAAGGCTATAGACTGATAGCCAAAAACTTATGTTTTTTAATCTTTTTCAACCAGAGAGTGTTTTTTCACTTTAATATGTCTTATCCTGGTTACAGCTCTATTTTATGCTCAAGCAAATTTGAATTGTAAGTTACAGTTTGCCTCAAGAAAACTGTCAATCAATCAACGTTACTAAGTTCCTGTCAAAAGAACGTCTGGTTTGACAGTAATTCAGACTCCAAATAATATATATTTAATCTAATTGACTTTGTCTGGTATATTTGTTTCTTTAACAGTTGTCCTTGCTTTATGATATCACTTACACAGGAAGCTTTTACACATTTTAGAAGTCCAAGTTGTGCTATTTCTATTATCTAAATTTCAATTTAATTCTGGAAAAAAGGACATTGTCTGGCTTTCCCCAAATCCTGTTTTCGTGTTTCCACAATGTTTAAGCCAAAAACAGTTCAGGGTAAAAAATTAATAGTTTGTGCCTTCTTATTGTACTGATGTACTATTTATGACTTAACTTTTGCCAAGTATTATGATGCATGTACATGACACAAACTGAGGAAGGCAAAAGCATCAGTATTGTACATGTTTTCCTTCTTGAGTAATGAATGCTTTTAATGTTACATACAGATGCTAAGAAATTCAAAGACACATTTATCAAGTGCCAAGGAGAGTTGCCAACAGACGAGACAACAGATGAACAAGAGAGCAACAAGCTTGCGAAAGAACTTGAAGGTCTTAAAGTCAAGGAAAGTAATGATGAAGAAGACAAAGAAAACAAGTCAGAAAATAAAGACAATGAAACTGCTAGTAAGAGTAGTGAAACAGAAGAAAGTGAAACTACAAAAGAAGATAAATCAGTGGAAAGCGAGGATACACCAGAAAAATAGAGTGTTAGTAGTATTGTAGAACAGATAACATTGTATGTGTATCGCAAGTATGTCATTTTAGGCTGAAATGAGTTATTCAAGAGTAAGTACTTTGCTCTGCTTTCCAGAGCTTTGGCAAAAAGGCCTTCTTTGGACATTATATACGACCAGTAGTTGACCTTATTCACTAATGCTGCAAAACAGTTACAGTTAATTGTATGCAATCTAGACAGTCTAACTGACGTTAAGGCATTTTAAACCCTCTACTGACAACCTTTTTGTGTCTGCTTGTACATAATACACTTATTTGGACTTACAGCTACTTGTGCAGTGTTGATTAGTGACACTGTTTATTTCAGTCTGCAACTGAAAAGTGTTAAGTGACTCACAGCTCAGTTTAGCTAATCTTCATGGCCAATATTTTATTATGATTGCCTTGAATCAAGATTTCAGTTTGCACCATTCATGAGTAAGGTCTCTTTGCAGCAACCATATTAACAGCTCTTGCAGGTTGAGTAGCTTCACAATCTCATTCCAACTTGATGGATGTTCGCTGTTATGAAACAAACTATGAGGCAAGGCTAACTTCAGAAACTTTCACTGCTCTCAAGATATCAATGTTTATAAGAAAATCAGAATCAATGGCTGAGTTTTACACCCATATACACTGTACAGTATTGTACTGTAGTCAATATTGTTTTGTAATTTAAGTGGTGCACTTTGGGTGTATCTGGGTAGCACTCATTTTGGCCAACAACTAATTCACCAGTTTTCCATATTTACTTTTAGTTGTAATTTTTTTTTGATGTCATCAAATTTTAAAATTCGTAAATTCCTGATCCAGCTGCAAAGCTGTCTTTTGTATATTTTAGGACTACATTATTATATATGCCAACAGTATTACTCAGTATGTACCATTTCGATAGTTTAAAAACATTATTTTTTTTTGGAATTTCCAAGGTCAAGGATGTCATTTTTTGGATTTAATACCAACATGATATTATTAATAAGAAAGCTAATAATATTTATGGCAAACTTTATTTAATTTCACGTTATTTTCCTAGTGTTGTACACCAATTTGGTATTTGCACATACTATATAGCGTACATGTAGTTTAAGTTGACATTTCCTTAAAACAATCTCTCTCATTAAGTTTTGAAAGTACCAAAGATTTAAAATTTGTACAGAATATTTTTCTCTTTGTTAGAACTTCAAATGCATTTTAGAATTTGATGACATCACAACAAAGTAAGGTACATTCATTGTTACCAAGTGTCATTCTCAAAACATGTCCTTGTAACATTTTGCTAACTTGATTTCTAGCTTTTCAGAACTCGAAGAAAGTATTTTTCTTTAATTAAAATGCCTTTGTGTAGATAGTTCGCACTTTCCTCGAAAACTAGATACCTTTCTTTCCTCTCAGATTAAATTTTGATTGCCCCCCTTTGTACAACTGAATTTTAGTTCTCTTTTTCATTTCTTTTCATGTCTATTGTGCTTCAGAGTATAACTCTGTTGTTTCCGAGAGTAGTTGTTGGTTTTGTTTTAGGGACATAAGTAATTTTGGGTTTGAGTTGATTTCAAATACCAGTATTATTGCTCTCCAGTAGTTTGATTTTTAGCTATTATATGATTAAGTGTATACTTTTAAAGATGTTGCTAAAATTTATGAAGCTGAATAGCGATATTTAATTTAATATGCAAAATAAAATTAGCACCTTAACTTGTTGGCAAGTACTTGGTAGAAAATTCAAACAACAATATTTTGCTCTTCTCTGCCTCCTCGGCCTGCGAACACAGACGTATTTTCTATCCTTCAAACGCAGACTTATTTCTGGCTGCTGTTGGAAATACTGTCCCCTTGGCTTTTGAAAAGTCGGAAACCTTCGAAATTATTTTATGCTAAGTCTGGGATCAGGTTTACAAATTTTTTTTGACATGTACAGTTATAAGCCTGCAAATGAAGTGAGGCTGTGTTTTGTTAAGAAAACATTAAATAATGAGAGATCTGGCAGATGTTTCTCTTGGGAATGTGTCACAGGGTAGTCACTAATGGTGACAACCTTGACCAGAATATGCATCTGAATTCTAAAAATAACAAAGTTTGATGGAGAATGCACTACAAAGAAACAATTGCCATACTCTTGAAAGACCAGGTTTCTTGAGTAAATAGCACCTGATTAACTTTCTGTCTGGGTTTGGGGACTGAGCAGTTGCTGTCGTGTTCTTGGGCAGGCCACTGTTTTGAGGGCCAACACAATGCTGGGCCCAGAGGGTAACCCTCCGATGGACCAGTATCCATCCAACATGGAGTAGAAATACTCTTAGTTGTCTCAAGTTACAAAAACAAAGCGGTTTAAGCACCAACCCAATGTACCACTTCGCTTCAATACTTTCTTCACCTACATTGGAAATTCTGAAATATTGAAAACTTCAAAAACTAATCTTTCCATATGTACACCCCACTACAGAAGAGTATTTTAAAACTGTTAAAAGTAGTAGTAAGCAATTGAAACCTCAAAACGTCTGCACACAAAATTAAAATTATGTGGAGTGGGATCCTTTCAACCCAATACCTACTGCTTTGTTCCTAACTAACTTAAGTTGACAAGAAAATACACTTTTTTTTTTACAAATTATTTTATTTTAAGCTCGCTTCCTTGCTTATTTTGTCAGCTTGTGTGAACCCAGTCAAACCTTAGAACTGATTCCAGGGGGCAAAGGGACTCATATGAAAAGAACAGGGAACTCATCACAAGCAGTTTTGGTACCTCTTAGGGTGCTCAGCCTCAAAAGGTCCACAGTGGGAGCTTTTGCAGTACCTTTTAGGGTATTGAGCCAGAAAAAAATATGACAGGAGATACACTGTAATGTGTTGTTCTGGAATTGGTACCTCGAAGGGGTGAAAAACATTTCAAGCCACGCCCTCAAAGCAGGATCTTGGTATCCCTTAGGGGTTCTTTCAAAATTTCCAATGAGCACCCTCATCCTTTTCATATGGGGTCCCCCCGAGAACTGATTGCAGAACAACATACTAGTATGGTTGAAACACAGGTTCATGATTCTTCATCATGCACTACAGACACTGAAGGGTCAGCTTGAAAAATAAATTCCATGTTGCCATGGATTTATTCAGTAGTAGATCACAGATGACATCAAAATGTGACCAGTACTTNAAAAAATATGACAGGAGATACACTGTAATGTGTTGTTTTGGAATTGGTAACTCTAAGGGGTGAAACACATTTCAAACCATGCCCTCAAAGCAGGATCTCGATACCCCTTAGGGGTTCTTTCAAAATTTCCAATGAGCACCCTCGTCCTTTTCATATGGGGTTCCCCCGAGAACATTGCAGAACAACATACTAGTATGTTTGAAACACAGGTTCATGATTCTTCATCATGCACTACAGACACTGAAGGGTCAGCTTAAAAAATAAATTCCATGTTGCCATGCATTTGTTCAGTAGTAGATCACAGATGACATCAAAATGTGACCAGTACTTCATTTCAGCAGGCTCAAAATGCCAGGACTGTGGGTTGTGATTGGTAGACCTGATCCATTCTCTTTCTTTCATTTATTCACGGTTTGTTGATTGCCATGGTAATCAACATTGGCAGAAGCAAAAAACAATCATATCACCAGTTAATTTTTGAACCTCACAGGGTGCATGTGATAAAAAGGTACAGGTATCTAACACTGCATCGTGCACATGTATGTAGTTTTCATAACATGATTCATTTTGACTACAAAGCCATCTTTCGACAAGACATAATGCTTTTCACAGAATAGATCTGTCTAGTCTAATTCTCTTGTTACAATGATGACATCTCTGGACAGATCTTTCATCTCAGTTTGCTTCAAAAGGATTTGAAACTTCTTTCAATGTTTCATTTTTACACCCTGCAAAAAAAAAATCAATCTTGTTATCTCTGTTCTGAGTTTTCAGTCAGAATGTTAATTGCTTATAACATACTGAACAGCACAGTACAAGTCATTATTTCTTTGGAACTTTCATTTCATTTGTCCATAAAATACCATACTTCTTTAAAATTAAGCTTCCATGCTCGAGGTTTCTTTTCACTGATGGTCATCGAGGGATATGGTTCCAAGCCAGTTACATGTATTGACGTTGACAGAAACCTTACATGTAGTAAGGAAAGCAGTCAAACAATCTATTATTGTCTAAGCATAACCCAGTGGCTGAATGACATACTGATAAAACTGATTTACTGATGGTTTTGTTGGGTGCTTTAGCAGTCATCTATCATTCAAATTGTGCCATTACCAATAGTTTCTCTTATGATGCATAACCCATCAGACTTGTCCATAAGTTTAGGTCAAACGCTGAGCTCAGAGCAAGAAAAATTTCAGTGGCGCTTGAAACATGAATGCGAAAAGCACAAGGTAGCAAAGTGCAAGTTTGGCTAAGTTGTCTCGCTCGCAAGTGGCTTAGTTTCTCTCACCAGCTGTCTATAATAGTATTGCTTTCAGTCTTTCAGAGCATAATGAAGACCACATAATTAACATGACTTGCCAGGGATCCCAACTCAATATCTATATAGTATATCTACATTAAAAATTCTGCGAAAGGTTAAAACTTTTCCTCCTCTTCTTCCTCTTTTTAAAATGAACAGATACATCTGAGGGTGACTGAAGAGTGATCACAAAACCAAACATTTACTTACTTTTTCACTACTTGAACCACATCTTCATCTTGCAGTACATGCTCCTTACCAACTTTTTGTGGACTGAATTTTACAGAAGAGCCCCAAACTAATGCACTGTAAAGGGTAAAGATTGATAAATATACCAGTTCACCATGTTGTACAAGTACATAACCAAGGAAACGTCACTTGCACCAGTTAGAGTTAATTCAAGAGAGTAGAGGAATTTCCACTCCCCCCTGGATGGAAGCTTCAGTAGTCCATTGTAGATCAGAGTTACCCCCAGCATTGAAGTCATAGGTATCCATTCATACCCTCCTCCCTGGCCCTGATTGAAATACACTTAACATTTGAGCACCACACCTGCCAACTTTATACATCCATGCGAGCTTTATTTTTCTACATGATATCAATTCATACAAAATTATGTTCTCTTCCGGCATGTTTTACCTTTAAATTACAATTGAATGATAATCTGTAGATAATAAAATCAAATTAAAAGATAATAATAACATTATCATTAAGAGCTAATATTAATAAATAGAACTGGCTATGTATGCAAGGGTTCCCTCAACCATAAATCACCTGTTTGTTTGTAATAGACTGGATTTATAATGACTCATGAATCGATGTTATGTGCAGGGAAATTAGAGGGTGATAAGTCTGAAATTTAGGAAATCTTACTAGTTATAATTCTGGCATGGTTATACATATGTAAGTGACTTAATAGTAGCAAAGTGTTCTTGACTAGTGACTTACTGTTTGAATTCTTTCATGATGCTCTTGTGTAGAGAGTTACAGAAATCCTCCACACTTGAAAGGCCATTTTTCAGCACCACAGGGGCCTCATAATCTGGTAGCTGACCTTTTGGCTTTGTGTATCTAGCAATGACAGAAAAAAATTCTCAAAACTCCATCTGATACTGTTTTGACACTTATGCCTTGAACAGAGACACCAAGGGATTAGTAATACATGTAGTATTTGGATAGAGTGGAGAACAATTCAGGGAGTAATTGCACAAGTTATTTCAACATCAGACACGAAGTGTGTAGCACAAGACTGATTTGAGATTACAAGCAAGATTAATTGAATTGAACTGAATTGCACTCCACTTGGTCCAGGTACTAATAGATCGTACCAATAACAAATTTGGAGATTAAAAAACAGTCTTTTACGAATTCCTTTTGAGTGAAAAAGTCAATAGTGTTTTCTATAAGTTTTGTGAACTGTAACTAAAAGAACATTATGAAGGAAGCCATTAAAGTGCAGGTAACTGATGTGCGAGTCACATTAGGTATCCAATTACAGGTATCCAATAACAAAAGGTTACAGCTGGATACCTGTAACTGGACACCCAAGTGATTGCACACTGATTATGTGACAAATAAGCGCATGGGGATCCAATCAAGATCAAGAATTTTGTTACAAATGTGATTAAGCGTGTTATAGCTAAGGCAGGGAATGTTTTAACTTAAAGTCATTTTAAATTCAGGAAAGGAATACGGGAGTTAACCAGAGATTATAATTTAATGATTATTATATTACATGTACATTGATTTGGTCACGTTCAGTACCAAATTTATCACCAATATGACAAACTGGTGGAGGCACGGTGGCCTCATGGTTAGTATGCTCGCCTACAGATCATAGGGTTTGGGTTCAAACCCTGGCCAGGGACACTGTGTTGTGTTCTTGGGCCAGACACTTTACTCTCACAGTGTCTCTCTCCACCCAGGAGTATAAAATTAAATGGGTATCAGCATATTTAATGCTGGGGGCAACCCTGCGATGGACTATCATCCCATCCAGGGGGGAGTAGAAATACTACTAGTCGCTTCATGCTAAGGAAACTGGAGATAAGTGCCAGCCTGATGGGCCACTTGGCTCATATGCAGGCTTTACATCAACAAAATCCTGAAAGCTATTAATAGAAAATGTTTTAAGTTAAAAGTTTCCACTCACATTCTTATGAGATTGAGATATTCCCAGGTCTTTTCAAGCAGATCATCAAAGTTCCACTTGTGGTGAGCTGATAATGGGACAGCATGTGGGATCCTGTAGATTAAATCTAATTCTTCGATCGATATTTGATCAATTTTGTTCAGGATATAGATGCAAGGAATGTAAACCCTGCAAAGCAAAAGAGGATTTATTTAATAATTTTTTGGTATAAATTACCGTTTCCAATGACGTTAAGCTAATAAGGCATTCAAATCATATTAAATAATTTCTGTTTTAGGGTCAAACCTCTCAATGCAACATAACTGCAAATTATATGCTATTGGTGATCTTACTGGGGATGCAAGTCCAATTTTGCAGGTTGCATAACCCTAGCTCCTAAAGGAACGTAATATGACAGCCACAACATCGGCCTAACTGATCCTTACTGTCCATGTAAGCTGAACAACACTTTGAGAACCTGTCATCAATGAAAGAAATGCACTGTAACATCTATTCACAGTATAAAATGCAAGGGTTTACCCACGCTCAACAAAGCTCTACATGTATTTCAGAGAAGTACTGCTGCCACTATTTACCTGTTTCCTTCAATGACGTCAATGAGATCATCAGTGGTGGCATCATATCTCAGGGTGATGTCGGCATTAGCAATGCGATATTCACTTAAAATGGATCTCACAGAGTCAATGTCCAGCTCTGATTGGGTGCACTGTGACATAGCAACAAAAAAAGGATATTACAAATTAAAAAATATTTTACAGATCCCATGCATTGTGAATGGTCACTGCTCTTGCAAAAAGTGTTATGTTACATGAATTACCTAAAATTGGTTGAAATATTAAATTCAGATCAAGTATGACAGTGGTTCAGGTGATATTCATACATACTGTAGTTTGGAGATTAATTCCACCCTTTTCTTTCTTTCTGAATGTAATATTTGGTGGTTCCTTGTTGAGCCTGATAAAAGCATGGAACATTTAAGTCAATAAGAGAACAAAGAAAAATAAGAGAAGGCTCTAGAACAAGATGGTCGTATCAAAAAATTGCCTTCTGAACCTCAAGGTCTCATTCACTGGCCTGCAACAAATACAATTCATAAATCATGGAGGCAGGAAACATTTTAAATACACTTACTCTCGACTGGGTATTGGAACAGTTCTACATTTGCTACAAAACAACTGGCATAGTTCTAAACATGTGATAAGCCTCAGGATTCTGGTATGCAGACTGCACAATCATGTAAATCATCATCATCATGTTCAGTGATAATGAAGATAAATTATAAAAGATTTTTATTGTTACCTTATTCCAAACCCTTCAAGTTCATATTCAATAAGTCTCTTGTGCCCCAGTGGTTTCAGCACATCAAGCACAATGAAGATCAAGCTACAGGTTCTAGCAACTGTTTTGCAAATGGAAAGAAAAACACACACATGAAATCCATCTGTGCTTGCAGGTTATCTACCTCTGCCAGTATGGATACTTTTTGACGAATTATTTGAATCATAAGAGAACATAGCTCAAACTGATGTTAGAAATGAAGAAGCAGTCAAATTCTTATAAAGCCAGTTTAAGTGCCACCCAAAAAGAATTTCGAAGGCTCTACCAAACAAAATAATTCAAAATCAAGTATAATAATAATAATAATAATAATA